AAATAAACATCAAAAATCTAAATAAGTCTTTGATCCTAGAAGGTTATAAACCGATTGAGAGTCCAGGTAAATTTGGAATAAGATTTTGGAATTAATTATAAAGAATCCTTCCTGTGGGAAATAGATTTGTTTGGACTTTTGGCAAGACATGATGAAGATAAGTAATTTTAAGAATTGGACAATACAGGTAGTCCTCGACTTATGACCACAATAGGAACCGGAAAATTCATTGATAAGTGGTGGAGTCATTAAGTGAGGCTTATCATGTGACCGCACCCAATTTTACAACATTTTTTGCAGTGATCGTTAAGCAAATCACCACAGCTGTTAAGTGAATTATGTGGTCATTAAGCAAATCACATGATCGTTAAGTGAATTACGCGCTTGCCCATTGATTTTGCTTGTTTGAAGCTGGCTGGGGAGGTTGCAAATGGTGATCACGTGACCCTGGGATGCTGCAACCATCGTAAATACATGCCAGTTGCCAAGCAGCCGAATTTTGATCACATAACCCCACGGAAGCTGCGTAAGTCCGAGGATCGGACGCCACTTTTTTCAGCACCATCATAACTTCAAACTGTCCCTAAATGAATGGTCATAAGTTGAAAACTACCTGTAGAGAGAAGTAAAGGTTTTAGTTAGAGGAGAAAAATACACAAGCCTGATTGACACCTAATTAACTGGTACTTATAAAATGATGCAAAACATTATAACATTGAAAAAACTGAAGGACATTTTTGAAAAATGGAATCAGAAGTTAGTATCAACAATGTCAATAGCAATGTTTGCTTCTATAGATAGACTGTGTCCAAAAGATGTCATGGAAGAAATGGCAGATGAGGAACAAGTTTTATTTGACAAGACAGAGATGGCATCGAAAGTAGATCTACAAATGACAGGCTACAAGAATGACATGGAAAAGGATGTCTCACTGGATATATAAAAGAAAGTGGTTGATGTTTCAAAAATCAAAAGGGAAATACAATAATAAACCAAGAGAGTCACCTGGATAATTTTTATATTGGATTTATAAAAGAGGCTTGTTAAAGCTTTGAAGAGTTTTGTGAGAAGGGACAAAGAAATGAAATCTAATTCTATGACATTATTTGAATGGACTAAAGATTAGGACTGCTAGAAGTAAAAGGAATATAAAGTTGGTTTATTTGATCAAGGTTAAAATTTTATTTCTGATAAACCTTAATGGACTTTCTCCTGACACCAAGACTGAAAAGATGATGCTTTACGGATTTGTCTATAGACAAGAGATGAAGAGATCATTGGTTGTAAACTAAGGGGGGGTGAAGAGTTACTAAAATTGTTTATAGTTGTTGTGATGGTTGGAAGTCACCTCTTTATAAATTGCTTTTCTCTTTACTATATTTTTCTTCCTATTTTCTACATTTTTTTCCTTTTCCTTTGCACCTTTCGCTTTCTTTTTATACTTTCAGTGTGTATTAGATTTTACTATTGTAATTAACAACGTTAATATAGACACACACACACACAAATTATTGTTTCTGGTTTACTGGACTCCCCAAAGAAAGACTGGGTATCAATTTTTTGTTGGTGTTCTAAGAACTCCTTTAACTCAGGAGTTGATCTTGTCTAGCTACAGTTCTAGTTTGGTTTCAAGTTACACATATGTTAACACAATTCTGGTAAAAAAATCTAAGAGTTAAATATGTAAATGGATGCTAAATTATGTTTCTGAAATATGGAGGTTGTCATTTTATGAAGAGCTTTAGGTTTACTGAGATTTACATAAATTTACATAAATGGAAAGAAACTTATCTTCCTGACGTTAAGGAATGGATTTGAGACATAAGTTTGATACTAATTTTTGAAATGTCTTTACATTTTAAAAATGAAAAGAGGCACCATACATTTCTATGTGGTACAGATCTACAGGTAAATTTTAAGGACAGACTCCCATCAAAACCTGCTTTCGCTGCCTCATTCTGGTGGTCAAGTGTTCCTAGGTAGGATGAGCAAAGAATGCCAGGACTATACACCAATAGTATATATTCCCAGCAGGGTCACCCAAGACATAAAGGTCATTCCAGCTGCCTAGCTAAAGCAAGCAGGCACCTGTCGGCATCAAGCAACAGCAATACTGGAAGATGCTGGAAGAGGATGAACACTTGAGTGACAAAAGCAAAGGTCATTCCAGCTGCCTAGCTATTTTGAATAGTGTGAATTCAAATAATGTGACCATTTCGTGGGATTCATAAACCGTACTAATCAAGACCTACCTGTAACAGAAATAAAATTGACTAGATTATTGGTACAAGTAGATTGATAATGTGCCATCAAGTTACTGTTTTCTTTAAAGTCCAACTTTGGCTTTCACAGAGTATCACAAAAAGTACCATGGCTTGCATGATTCTGTAAGTATAGGCACATCACAACATTTGAATCTCTTCCAAGGCTTTCATGGCTGCTCTACCAAGGGCTAGTCTGTGAAGTATTTCTTGACTGCTGGTTCCTTTACTGTTGATGGTTGATCCTAAAAGAAAGAAGCTATCCTCTACTTTGATATCTTCACTGCCAATTCTAAGGCTGATTGTTCTACCTATCATTAGTTTCATCTTCTTTATATTTAGTCTCATTTTTTCACTGTGCTCTCTAATACTAGAAGTTGAAATTAAATCAGCATTCCATTCATTACTAAGTCAGAAGGCTACACGAATTAATGGAATATCTACAGAAAAGGCAAGCAGTAGGAGAAAAATCAGTAAAAGTTCTAACCAAACTATACCAGCAAATCTGGAGAATGACCCAGCGGTCAACAGATCAGTCTAGAAACCACCACCAAGGAAAGAAGACTTAATAATGTACTATCATACAATATCCTAGTTTTATATGCTAACAAAATAATGCTTAGGATGATCTTAGCCAGATTAGAGAAAGGAAAGGGAGATGCCAGATGTTCAAACTGGCTTTAGAAAAGACCAAGAAACAATATTATTGCTGATGGATACTTGACAATTGAGAAAGTCAAAGAATATCAAAAGGAAGTCAAAACCATTGATTCTGCTGACCATGTGAAGTTGAGGAATGTGCTTAGGAAACAAACAAATGGATCATAAAACAAATCAGCCCAGAGTTCTCACTTGAGACATGAAGAACCAAGCTCCTAATATTGCGTTTTGGACACGTTATGCGAAGATCTCGCTCTCTGGAGAAGCCTACAATGCTGGGAAAGGTGAAAGGAAAAAGGAAAGAGCATGGCTGGACTCAATTGTAGTGGTGATGGGTGCATTGCTGGAAAACCTGAAGGGCTAAGTTGGGGACAGATCATCCTGGTGCTCACGAGGAGTTGGCACTGAGTTGGTGGCATATAATCAATTAAAGACTGAATTAATTTTAGATTAATTCTATATGGATCTTATTTTTAAAAAATTTTACTTTTACATTTAATCACTATAATTAATGAAGTTTTAAAAACTGTATAATCACTAGCATATTTAGTCACTGTTATTCTGTTATATTCCACTAATAAAAATTCTAAAAAATTAAAAGGCCATTCCGAGTGATCATAGCACAAGAACTGTTCATTGTTAGCTATACCAACCTTCTTCACTGGACACTCTACAGAGATGCTGGGGTGGAAATTCTGGAATTCAAAGCTGCTCCACCATGTTACAAGACCTAAGATGAGAAAGGCTTGTCCAAAACAACTGGACTAGACAGCCTTTCCTGAGCTCTACCACTACAGAATAGGCTGTTCATATGTATCTGTATAAGATATATCTTATGAATTTAACTCATTAATGCTTGACTCTTCTAACTGACCAAAGCATACCTCAGGTTCATTTCACGCCTTACTTCAGAGATAGCAAGAACTCCACACAATGAATATATATCAGTTCAAAAATAAATGTGTAAACTCAGGCCTAAATGGGGTGCAGTAAAGGGATGTATGCGTGCAAAGGGAACTTGGCAATGAAACCCAGGTATAAAGATAATAATTTTCTGTACTCCATCTCTTTGCTCAGAACTGTAGCTCACTGATGTAATATGCCCTTTCCAAACAGCTGTGCCAGCCAGGTTTAGTGGCAGTATCTCAAGCTAAACCCTACAGGGAACAAGGAAGAGAAATGCCTCACCTGCATCTCTGGAGAGCCCCCACCAGTCAAAATAGATATTATATTACCGCTTGGATAGCATCACTATAAAGCAGCTTATTTATAAGCAGTACAGAGATAGAACAATTATAAAATGTAACTGGCTGCAATTCTAATTAAAATTTAATTTCCTACAACAATGTGTTAGAGATCTGAGCTAAACAGATTGAAAATGGTGGCTGTTCTGAATCTGAAATCTTCAGTAAAACATTGCAAGTGGGAAATCCCATCTGCAGGTCCCTCGCATCCTGAAATTACACTGATTAAATCCGGCAGAAAAAAAGATGGATCTTTTAAAACAATTTTGAGTGGGCTTTTCCACCAAAGTCATAGCTTCTAGAAGGCAGTCCATTTCCTTACCCATCCTTATAATTTCACCAACCTCTCCATCGATCCAGGACCAAAAATGTACTACTGAAACACGGTCCTTTTGGCTCCAAGAATCAGATGCACCACCTTAAAACCCTCTAAAAAGTGAAAAAAGGTCAGAATTCAATTGCACTCCTCTGTTTGATCAGCCTAGGGCTCTCGAGAAGATTGGGAAACTAAACTATGGCCCCCAATCCCTCAAATGTTGCATACTTCTATGATACAGGAATAAAAATGAGGAACAGAGTTGGATATGGTAGAATGGTGCTCTGTGATAAAAAAAAAAAAATCATACTGAGAAAAGACAAACCAGCATAAAGTCTGAAGTGGAAACTGAGCAGCAACCAGAACTCCTAACAATTTACCTAAGCTATGGACATTTATAACTTATGCAAATCTCTTAAGCCTTTTCTGGATGAGAACTATTCATTAATTTACATGCAGGATTCAATTCAATGAAGAATAGTCTGGCAATAAACCAGTACAGAACCAATTTCCTCACCTGTAAACTATGCATCCCAAAGGGTGCAATTCCTTGCTATTAAGTCATTAATCTTTTTGGCATCAACTGAATGCAGCCGTTAAAAGAATATCTGTGAAGAGAAAAAGGCTTCAGGGAACCGCATTGTGTCTTATAAATATATTAAAATGAGCAACTACTTAAGGTGAAAAAAGGATCAAAATAAAAATAGTCATTATTCTCACTTGTATTCAGTTCTTTTGGAGGAATTGACAAACTTTTACTCCCCAGGACTCATCCCTAAAATCTATTTTAAATGTCAAGAACATATGAAAAAATAATTAAAAACAGACAAATATGCATAGCAATAATTTTGCTCACTGAATTATTTTTATTACAATTTTAACCTACCCTTTTTCAACAGCTTCACAAATCAATGTAGCTGTCCCCCATATATCTTTATACAGTATTTCAGGAAACTTTACTTGAAGACAATGTGACTAAATCTATGCTCACTAAATAACAGGTGGTGATTTCAGTCTAAAACTTTTCAGCCTCAGCTCAAGAGGCTATAATAGTTAAAAAAAACAATTAAGCTGCTAACTCAAGTATAACCTCCACTCTGAATTCATCAGGTGGCCTTCTACAAAACACTCATATCTCTACCTGCTTATAACAAGAATGTGGAGCATGTTAAAGTGAACACTCAAAATACATTATACGGTACAAATATTAAATGTTGTTACTGAGACTTAAATGATGTGTGCTTTTAAAGAGATCACAGGAAAAAAAAGGCTTTATTCATATTATTCTAGAAGCATACAAAACACGCTTCTAACCACCTGGCCTGATCCCAAACACAGAAACTCTAACTGAAACAGGCAGGCCTTTCCCCACCCTAGAATTTCTGCATTCCAACCAGGCACCCCACTACTGTACTAGTCACAGTTCTTCCCTATAAACTAACTCCTTCCTTTCCAGTTTTCACCACCCAGGCGTGAAACAGGTACAACAGATGATTCATTTTTTTAAAAAGTAATTGTAATTAGAAGCAATCACCAGAGTCTTTGCTAACTCACATTCCCTTTGCCTTAGATTCCTTTCCTTCACCAATGCACCAATTTCCCCCATTCCTCTCCATTTGCCTGCTTCTCACCTCTTCCTCCTCCTTTCTCCCAAGCCACCCGTTGGTTCCCATTTCTCAGTCACCCCAACCTCTGGTGGCATTGCCCTCCAGCCAAATAATCAATATATCTGATTATTCCCAAATGCTCCCTGCACACCAGTCGCTCTCCATTCAAGAACAGGCGATTTCGCCCTGCAGGCAGGGACAGCGGCTTGCCCGGCCGAGTTTACACCTGAAGGAAGAGGCGAACAAGGTCCCCTAGGTCCGCAGGCCTAGCTCCCTTTCCCGACGTCGCGCCCTCCGCGC